GAGGTTGTACCGTTAAAGAGGTGACATTCCTAGAGGCTGGCTCATACAAGAGCCAGGTTACTTTCTGGGAGCATCATTACCTCTCGACTTACACACTGGTGTTTAGTGTAAACACACTGACCCTAACTGACTTTGGTATAGAAGGTTTTGTAGTTATTAAGGAACTTCATGTAAATATGAAATACCATGATGAGACAGCGCAGAATGTGAGGAGAAAAAGAAGAGTTTCTTAAATTCTCAAAAGCAGGAATATCAACAGTGAAGGCACTTTGTAAAGTCAGTGAATTGTCCAAAGCCAAAGGCCTGCACTGACATTCTCCAAAGAAATCACACACACACACTCAATAAGCACATGGTCAATACATGATTAGAGAAACCGCAGTTCCAAACACAAGGAAGTATCACTTCACATTTGATAGGTTGACTATCATCAAGAAAATAATAGTAAATGCAAGGGGAGGGTACAGCTCAGAAGCACATTTGCCTATTAAGCTCAAAGCCCCTGGGGTGGCTCCATACTGAAATGATGATGATGATGATGATGATGATGATGATAAGTGTAGGAAAGGATAAACAGCAATTAGAACCTTTATCTAATGCTGGTGGAAGTATTTTCCACTATGGAACACTATATGGTGATTTCTCAAGAATTTCTGCATAGAAATATCATATTTTCTAGTAATCTCATTCTGGGGCTGTGAAAACACAGACTCAGAGAAGTGTGTGTTCACCCCTGTTCAGCGGAGTGTTCTGTACAACAGCCAAAGAGTGTCCATCGATGATGGATTATGAATGAACAAGATGTGGCATTTGCATAGAATATAATCCATCTCTAAAAGGGAAGTCCTCAGATATACCACCATGTGGATGTAGTTAGGAGATATGCTAAAAAGGAGAATCCAGTCACAAAAGAACAGATTCTGTGTGTGATTCTACTTCCATGAAGGACCTACAACAGTCAAATTCATCAAGACAGAAAATACAGTGGTGATTGCTAGGAGCTGGAATGGGGGGGGAGACAATGGAAAGTCAGTGTTCAGTGGGTGTCAATTTTCCAATGTGATAAGATGAAAAAAATTCTGGAAGGAGATGTTTGGTGATGGTTGCATCTCAGTGTGAATGTTATGTTTTATTTTCTGAGACAGGGTCTCACTCTGTAGCCTTGGCTGGACTGGAACTTGCTCTGTCCACCAGGCTGGCTTTGAACTCAGAAATCTGGCTGCCTCTCCCTCCTGAAGGCTGGGATGAAGGTTTGCACCACCCTTGGCTAAGTGAATGTTCTGAATGCCAGTGAACTGTATACCTACAGGCAGTCAAACAAATACTTTTTAAGTCTCTTATTACATGTGTTTGCTTATTTTGAGTGTATTCTTGCACATGCATATTTGTGCACAAGTGTACCATAGAACACTGTGTGGAAGTCAGAGGACAGCTTGCAGGAGTAGGTTCTCTCCTACCACTTGGGTCCCAGGGATGGAGCTTAGATCATAGGCGTGGCAGCAAACATGTTTAGCTGCTGAGCCATCTTGCCAGCCCATTAAAATAATACATTTTATGTTTGCATGTTTAGCCATGCCCACAAAGACAATGATTAGGGCTGAGACAGTGGGAAGTGAGGATCTCCACTATTTCTTGGTTGGAAACCTGATAGTGCCTTCACTCTTCCATTCACTCAAGGAATTTTTTTCCTGAATACTGAGGAAGTCCATTCTCAGTACGCAAATTTGAACAATGGACCCAGCATCTCCCTTTGCAAATTTCCTATTAGAGGAAGATCTTTAAGTGGAAGCCAGTCTGTAACCAAATACAATGAGTTCACATGTTGGTGAGTTCAAAGGTGAAAGCATAGCCAAGAAGAGTAGAGAATGACTTACCACTGGAACACGTCCGGGGAGCATGGAAGCCATTTCCAAAGTAATGCCCTCCTTCAACAAATCAGGTGTGGGGCTTTTTATTTCAGGAGCCTTTATGTAGGAAATATGTACATTCCATATAATATATGTAAAACATTCAGCAGTGGGCACATTCCTGAGCATGCTCAGTAGTTCGGAATACCTATGTGAACCTTTTAAGTTCACTACTTAAGAAATGATAATAGCCATATTCAGGGGCATGCCTGATTCAAGGCCAAGGAAGGCCACATGATTGAAAGGCTAAATGGACAGGGATGCCTCTGTGTATTGACAACTTACCTTATAAAGTTTAACTAAAAATAAAAGAAAGGGCGCTTGGAAGGTGTGCTAACGTAGGAGCTGGTTCTTAAAGATACGTCTCACTTAGCGGCTAATAAGTCTATCACGGAAACTTTCAGTAGAAATGATCTGTAATGATTACAGGAACAAAGTGCCCCAGGTTTCACTGCTCGCATGATCAGTGTCACCTTGGTCTAGCCTGATGCTGGCCCATATATGAATAAGTAACCCTAAGGATAATGCACGGTTTGACATAGCAATGGAAAAGTACATTTGGTAACGTCTTCAATGGTTCTGGACATTCACATTCCATTTTCAGAGTTCAAATGGTCATGAAAACAAAAATTCCAATGAGATAGTTGTTGGGAACTTCAACAGTCCAGGTTCTCAATCTTGCTCTCTCCTCTCCTCCCTCCCCCTCCCCCCCCCAGAGAGGGTTTCTCTGTGTAGTTTTGGTGCCTGTCCTGGATCTCGCTCTGTAGACCAGGCTGGACTCGAACTCACAGAGATCTGCCTGGCTTTGCCTCCCGAGTGCTGTGGCCCACAGAGCCACCTGGCTCCTCCCACTTCTTATTTGGGCCCAATCAATCATGCAGCTGACCTGCACAGCCTCTCTCTGGTCATTCCTTCTGACCCCTCCAGGGTCATGGTTAGGGCCCCTGAGCATAGTTCTCGGTACCATCTCTGCTTGTGGGCATTCTCCGGTGGACATTTTGATGACTGGATGTGTAAGAGGATCTGAGTAGAGGCTGTTGATGTGACGTTTTTGCTGAGCTAAATCTTTAGCCTCAGCATGCACATTCCTAAATACTCAAGTTCTGAGCTCAGCGCTAGGAATTCTTGACCAATGTTCTGTCCTACAAGAGTGCACCATCTCTTTTAAAACAAACAAACAACCAACTCCAAAAGCAGCCAACCTCGTTGTTGTTAAGGCATGGTAAATCACACAAGGGTAGACCAGAAAGCCAATCAGACATCTATATGTGCATTAGTTTTAATGAGTGTTAATACGGTGTTTATATGTGAAACATCATGCTAAGGGGCTTGCACACATTCAATTCCCATGAAAAAGAAAACCTTGTAAAACAGTCTTTTGGGCCCCATTTTATAGGCAAGGAAACTGATGTACAAAACAAGTTAATTTATGGTAGACCATACAGTTGGTGTTCTGGCAAGCCTGGTGGTCTGGCTCAGGGTTCAGGTCTGTAAGCACTGCCCTATGAGACCTCCCACTCAGCTTGGGGAACACAAAGGAACTTTAGAGGCAACCATGAAATCTTAAATGTGGATTAACTGAAGGGATTTTAGGCCAGTCTAAACAGGAGTGTTCATAAATATTATTTTGTGGGAGGAGGGGAGGGAGACTGGGTGGCTAATTTGTTTTGTAGTTGAGGGACTCCAGTAAATTTTATTATACCACAAGAAATTGGACTTGGTTCTTTCAGTTTCTAGAACAAGCAATTTGTTCTGGTCACTGCTCAAAACCTTGTTTAGGTTAAACAGTCATGCATTTTGTGTGAGTAGTGTGCCCCTATACACGCAAGGGATAGTTTAGGACTGCAGAAAACCACCCTCCTCAATGTTAAATACCTGAGTTGGAGAAGAGAGTCTTTCTTTCTTTTTCCTTTTCTAAACACACAGCAAACTTGGGGACATTTTTATTGCCTTCTGTGAATCCTATGCTGAAAAAATGTTTGAGTGACTGAGGTCAGACCTTATTTTGAATTCTGCACCAGCACTTGATGGACCTCAGTAAGCCGGGATAACACTAGCAATCTCATGAGCAAGAGTGAGGATTAGTAAAATACATTAAGAGGCAAAATGCACACACACCCAGAGCACATGTCCGGGGCCAGCTCTCCTAATTGCCTGGCGTTGTGTCCTTGGCTGTTGGTCTGACAGGGACTTCACAGGAGGCGTGACTAAAGCTAAGGACCTCTGATCCTCTGATCCTTTGTTCTGAGGCTCAGAAAGGCTTGCGATGTTTCAATAGCTTGTTGACATTGCCCCAAGGCTATTGAACTCAAATAAAATTCCAGACTGTTTCCACATCTTTCTTTAGTTATGGGGCTTGTTTTCCCAGAGGCTGCCAGAATATTCCACATGCAAATCTGTTTGTATCTGGCATCCATTTACGCTCGAGAAAAAGGAAGTGCTCATCGGGATTTTAATTTTCTTCCCTTTTTCTTCTGGGGGGAAAAACAACAACAACAACAGAACGAGGGGTCCATCAAATTAGGAAATGAGGGGGCAAAAGAATCACGTGTCTTTGGGGGGGGTCATTTACTTCTCTCCTGTTAGCTGTTTGCATTTTTTTAAACTTTTAAGAAATTATTTTATAGAACCACTTTCCGTCAAGAATGCACTTGTTCCGTCCCTAAACAGTTCCAAGTACACACTAGCCGGTACTGCTGACCCATGGTGAAAGGAGAGGAGCAGGTCCCGGGGCAGGCAGATGTCTCTGGATACCAGTCTCTCGCTCTCCGGCGCAGACAGGAACAGGTTTGTTCCTTGGCGAAGAGGGAATCGAGGCACCACGGGGTCCTGGGCGGGGAAGGGCCATCGGTCCCTCTGCCCATCAGCCTTCAAGTTCGCCGGCTGGGGCGCAGAGGTCCGGAGAGGGCGCGGGATCCGAGCAGGCGGAACGCCCCGGGTATGCCCGGAGGTGCCCGGGTGTGCCCGGAGGGACCTCGGCAGCGCTCGGCTCGGGCTTCGGAGCTCTCCACGCCCCCACGCCCCCGCGACCTCCACTCCGACCTCACACGGAGGCCCCGCCCCCCCAGGGCCCGCCCCAGCTTCTGACTGGCAGCGGTGCGCGTCAGTCTGCGCTCCAGGGCGGGAGCACGGACGGCTGTCCCGGCCGCTGAGCTCGCGATTGCGGCTGCGGGGAAGCGAGCGGGGCCGCCGGGCTGCAGCCGGGCGGAGGGTGCGCGCGGGTGGAGGCGCGCGGCCCGCATGGAGGCGCCGAGGAGCGCGCCGCGGGAGCGGGAGCGCGCTCGGACCACGGCAGGTGGGCGCCGGGGTGGGCAGGGTCTCCCGGAGGGTGTCGCGGCGGCGGGGGAGGGCGGAGGGGACCCGGGGTGCTTGCTGGTGGAGCGGAGGGGCGGCTGCACGTCGCGCGTGGCGGTGTGGGTTGTATCTGAGCCTCCCGGGACCCCGAGAGAGGCGGGGTCCGTCGGCAAGCGTCCCGGGCGCGTGGACCCGCCGGCGGGGGACTGACTTTGTTGTCAACTAAGCTACCGGGGTTCGCGCCTTGCAGAGGATGTGGCCCACACCTTTACAGCAACCAGACTCATAAACCGCAGAGAACACTCTTGACTTAAAAAAAAAAAAACGCATCAAGGGGACAAGTATGGCAGTAGGTCGCTCTTAGCTGCTCAGGCTCCTACGCCACTGGGTGGATGTGGTCTCTCCGCTCCAAAGACCTTAGAGTTGGTTTTCCTGCCCATCCATCAGCTGTGTTGGTGATTTGAGTTCTAATTGTCAAGGGAAATGAGGTTTTGATGAGCCGCATGCCGGATCCTGTATTTCTCTCTACCACACCAGGAGTGTGAGCCTAGTAGTGAAGCTGAGCAGCATGTGTTCTCACTTTGGGTGCTTTTGTGGGGTAGCTGGACACCAGGAATGCGTCTTAATGGCTGTTCTAGGTCCCAGCAGGAGTTTCTAACTGGCTCAGCAACGTGTTGAGCGTAGTGGAGACAACACTGTTCTAGGAGTCAAGACACAAGGGACATCAGCCCACCCTAGAATATCTGGGTGGGAGTTAACAACTATTCAGGACACTCAGTCGTTTGTGAAATGAGTGTGCTTGACAAGTTAATACCTACGGCCTCTCTCGGGTTAGCAGTCTGCGACTGACTTACCTCTTCCCTCAAAAGTTTGAAGAATGAACTCATTTTTTTAACCTTTGTGCACCTTGGGTTATTATAGAATTAGCCACATATTTCCTGTGGGTGTATCCAGTTGAACATTTTACTTTGTTCCTTTCTTCCCTTCTCCCTGCCTTAGTTTGTCAGAGAAAGGGAAGTTGGAAACAGAGGTGAGGGCGCAGCTGGAAAGAGCTGGTGAGACTGCAAAATGCCTGCTTTGGCTCCACATAACCACCAAGAATTTTTCCTTCCTCTGCGCCGAGTGTAAGGTGTGTCAGAGCTGTGAGCCCGGGGAGAGAGTCCTCTCATGTGCTCCAGTCTGTGGGGTCTGCAGTATCTTTGCGGGAGAAGGGGTGAGATTCAAGGATCAGGTTGTGAAAAACGTTTCCCTTCAAAATACAGCTGCTAAGGACTTGGGAGCATAGATGCTCACCTTTGCAGTTTCTATTTGGGGGAGAGAAAAAATAAAGACCCCGTGGTTTTCAAGTCACTTGCTCAAGCTGAGATGGAGACAGCCTTTTAGTCGACCTCTTAACTACTTGTTGAAGGAGAGACATAGATTCACCTTTAAGATAATAGGTCACCCTTGACAGAAACCAAAGAGGCAACAGAAGAAAACCCACAGAACTGTTAGGGATCGAAAAGGGACTTGGGGTAGTCTTTTTTTTTTTAAATAAACTATTGTTAAATGTTTTTTAGTATTGAAAAATCACAGGACACACATCTTCGTACAGTATTACCAGAAAGACACTGTAGATATTGGACAAGGATGAGGCATCTTGAAGGTCACCTCATCCAGGACTCCAGAGCCCAGAGAAGGCACCATCACCTATCGGGAGGTTATGATGGCCCTGTGAAATAAGCTCACCTTTCGGCACCTTCGCAAACCTCTGTGTTTGAGGACGACCTGTGTTTTCCCTCCGTTCGTCTCCAACTCTCTTGCTTCCCGGTCCGTAACTGTTGGAGGGGTTGAGGCGCTGCTGTGGCATCATCCACCACTGTCCCTGAGTTTCCTGGCAATGTACACATCCTCGGTTGTGTTCTGAGGAGCGACTCAGGTCCTTGATGGGCCCTAGAGGTTGGGCTTGAGAGACAGAGTGCCCAGTGTGTAATGGGGGAGTCCCATGAGCCAGGTCTCACATTCCAGCCACATTGGGAACAGCTTTGCTTTCTATTGTTTGTATTATATTGCTGTTGTAGGTAAGATTTTGTTTAGGGGAAGTGTTCTAAAGCTAAATCAAACTTTGGAAAAAATAAGGACTAGTATTGTTTCAGTACTCCTTGTGTGTTCGAGCCACTTATCACGTGTAAAGTTGTTCTGGCTGTTTGAGGCTCATGGTAAAAATGCCCAGTACTGCTGTTATTACTATCACCCTTGCCTTCTGTTACTTAGTTGCTTACTGTTTATCCCTGGTTTAAGGAACCGCCAAGATCCCCCACCTCATACCTAGACTCTTCTGACAACGAAAAGGTGCAGTCCAAATATTCTGGGTTCCCTTATGCCCAAGCCTTTCACCAGTCACTGGCCCTGTTTGTGGAGCGGGTGTTTCATGCTCACCCTAGACAGCCTGCTTCCATGGGTGATCACAGGTAGTCATGGGGCAGGTGAGTGAGTTCAGATGGTCAGCTTGTCTGTGTTCATGGAGAGAGGCAGACTGGAAGAGTTGACAACCGAGTGAGGAGTGAGGCCCATGGTGTACATGCACCTCACACCCATGGGGACTCCTGAGGCTGGGTGCGTATTCTGGAACTAGTGCCTGCAAAGTAGTTTCCTTCTTTGAAAAAATAGTTTAAGGACTTAGGGGAAAAAGAGGCCCCACTGCATTATTCTCTCTCTCTCTCTCTCTCTCTCTCTCTCTCTCTCTCTCTCTCTCTCTCTTGAATGCTTCAAAAACTAAGGATCTATAGTTGTTATTTTTTCTCCTTGTCCCACTTTCATACTTCTCTTATTTATTGGGATGATTAGCCAATGATATGTATCTTTTTTTAAGCCTGTGTTTTATCTGGTAGAGATCCTTGACTGATGTAGTTTTGTTAATGGGAAAATGTCCTTTATCTGCCTTGGATGGCAAGATCAATTTCTCTGGCTCTGGAGGGGGGGGGGGGGCCGGGGAGCCCCTGATGGGCTTGTTATTCAGCATAATGCTGGTCTCTTCACAGTGGTGGTGGGTACTGTGTTCTTTAGATGCTAAACAGAGAGACAGCAGCCATAGAGGCAATGGGCTCATGTGTAGGTCTCCCAGCCATCGTTCTGTGACACTTAGAGCCAGCCATTGTAGGATATATAGAGAGTTTCCAGTTCCCAGGAGCTCCAGGAGGCACACACTGGCCCAGGTCTCTGCTTATGACAGATTCTTAACCATCATCTGCCTGGTCCTTTCTGAAACAGTCCTGGCGTCTACCTAAGCAGGCCTTGCAGGTCCCAGGGCCTCTTAGGCACACTGAACCTGTTCTCTGGGACAAGGCCGGGCTGCCATTTTTACACCATTGTGTTGGTTGAGGTGACTTACAGGCAGGGTGTACAGGAGAAGGGAGACTAGAACACTTTGTTCTTCCAAGCCTTCCATGGCTATATGGTTCTTTCTATATGGCTACTGAAAGCCACCAACTTTCAGGGGTTATTGGAGCAGTGTGTTCACCCCGAGGCGCTCCTTCTCTCCTGTCCACATTGACTCATCTGATGAATGTACAGTTACTTAGATAATCTGTCTTCAAAAATTGAGGTTTTGACCAGCATGGTGCCACACATCTTTAACCCCAGCACTTGGAGTCAGAGGCAAGTGGATCTTCATGAGATCAAGGCCAGCCTGCTCTACATAGCAAGTTCCAGGCTAGCCAGGGTTACACAGGGAGACCCTGTCTCAAAAAGAATTGAGTTTGAGTGTCCATTTATTTGGTTGTGGTTAATTTCATGGAAGACTGATACTTCTTCATAACAAATTAGCAAGAAAGTTTTTGTTTGTGTTCTTGTTTTTCCAGTACCCTTTTGTCCTAGAAGACATAGTCTATTAAAAAAAAAAAAAACAAACAACTTTCCTGTTTAATTGGAGGCAGAACAGACAGGTGGCATCGTGTTTAAATTAAAAAGATGCTAAAAAGTTTTTTTATCTCAAGAGATGAAGGAGCACCATCTGTCACTACTGTTGCCAGGATTCCTAGGAAATAAAAATTCCAGGAAGTGCAGGACATAAAATATTATGACTGATATATTTCTAAATTATGAATTTCCTAGTAAATCTTTTGTTGTTACCTTAACCATGTGACTGCAGCGTTTTTTCTAGAAAGCTCTCCCCAGCTGATAGAAGAGGCGTAGCGTTGAAAGCCAAGGGCTGAGGGAGCTGGGAGGAAACTCAGTTGATAGGTTTTGCTATGAAAGCAAGAGGACCTGACTTATGTTCCCGGGATCCACATTACCAAGCCAGGAGCAGTGGTGTGCTTCTGTAATCCTGGTGCTGAGGAGGCAGAGATAGGAAGATCCCTGGGACCTGCTGGGCATGCAGGCTAGCTGAGTCCCTGAGCTTGATTAAGAAAGGCACCTGATGTCAGCTTATGGGCTGCACTCACGCGCGCGCGCACACACACACACACACATACATGCTCACGCACACGCACGCACGCACACAGGGTGGGGAAGCAGAGAGAGAGAAGTGGGGGTGTACTAATGTCCCATCCTTATGGAGATGAGCTCCCTCTCCTCTGTGGAGGTGGGACAACCTTCTTGGATACATGCCAGTTTCAGAATGGCACGGGACTGTGGCTGGCCCTAGAGCTGCTGGTGGAAGCTCGCTAGGCTTGTTGTCTAGGCTCGCACTAGAGTGCGTCCCATGTCGTGCCTTCTCCCAAGTTTAACGGAAATGAACTAAATCTTTTCTTGCCTGGTGCTGAGAGAATCCGTCCCTCGGTCTTAGGAGAGCACCCAGTACACCGAGAGAATGTTTTTATGATCTGTGACAAGAAAACCTCGGCTGACCGCTGGGCTATGTGAAATTATAGGAAAGTAGTGGCCCTGAATTGGCCACTTGGAGAGGTTCAGTTCTGCAGTGAGCAGAATGGCTGATAGGAAAGAGGAAGTGGACGAGATGGCGAGCCAGATGCAGTCGGCCACCAGCTCCCTATGAAGTGGGGAGTGACGTGCGGATGG